GGCTGCCATTGAGTATAACACCAAACGATGCGGGTAGGTTGGGGTTGGATCAGGCCATGCCGGAGTACATGAGAGGTAAACACAGACTTTCCACAACCACTGGGTCCCACAACGAGCGCATTTGAGGGAATCAGGAACTTGAATTGTTCTCGAAGATCAGATATACATGGTAAATGAGGCAGCCACGAGTAGATTTGCGATGGCGGCGGCGGATGTGCTTGTAACGGCGGGTTGGCCTGACGCAGCAGCGGCGGCGGTAGCGGATGGGCTTGCGGCGGCGGCGTTAGCGGGTGGGCTTGTAATGGCGAGTGGACTTGCGGCGGTAGTGGGTGGGCTTGTAATGGCCAGTGGACTTGCGGCGGCGGCGGGTGGGCTTGTAACGGCGGCGGCGGTATGCTATGTGTATTTCTCCTGTGTCGTAACATGACATCTCTCCTTGAAAACATTTTTTCACAGTCCGGACAGGTGGCAACCCCCATGGTGATCCAATACGGTGTGCGATTAGAGGGTATGAAGCTTTCTTTTATACCCTTGACTCTGTTGACGCTTCAAGGCAGCAAGTGCCCGTTCCACCACAGCCTTCACCTTCGACACATGTTGTATTGTCACGGGTTGGGGTGTTGTCTTCGAACCCTGTTTGGTTGTCATCGTTTTCATTTTAGGTGTTATCTGTCTCTTCTTTGTCTTCAGCGTCGACTTCTTGGCTGCTTGTGGTTTCTTTCTCTGTTGTGATTTTCTCAACGTACTCTTCCTAAATATATCTCTAGGGTCAAGTCTAATCTCTGATGCTTTCTTCATGTTGTTCACGTCCAATCCGTTTGCTGGCGAGAGTAAAACTGTTTGTCGGGCTACACTACTGTAGAGTTTATACTGTCTTACACGTGCAGGGATTCTTGGAAGACACTCTTTTCTTCACAGCACACTTGTGAGTATGTTAAAAAAGCGATCATATTAGTATATAGTCTTCGTCATACTACACCCGTGAAGGTCCGGGTTATAGAATCGACCTTCAGTGACCCATGCTTATCGGCGACTGACGGGGATCGGTTGGTCAGTCTCGCCGACTCGGATGACACGTGCCATCGGTTCCTAGTTGCACAGATCGCTGCTCATGCTGTTGATCACTGGATTGTCTGGTCCAAGCTCGTTCATTGACAGACCACCGTCCTAGAGCTGGAATAATGCCGAGTGTGGCGTACAACTAAATTCACTCACTCACTGATACCAATACATCTAAAAAAGTAATGTCATCATCATTTAAATGGTGAGTTTAAACGCGTATTTTACCCTTACAAGGATGAGTGCATTCCACACACCCTTCCTGTTATCCAATGTGTCACCGTTTACAGTTCGGGCGAACATAACCCTATAGACATGTGTGCGGGCGAGTTCATTCATCAGAAATCTGTCATTTACGATGTGTTTATAAATATGAACTGCTAACCACGCACATAGTCATGTTGCGTGTCGTGGTTAGAACCGTAATTGATCTATTTGAAAGGTGTCATACATTCGTGTTCGGATATAGGTACAACATCTACACGCACATACTTTCCTACATCATTCAAATGTATTAAATACCGGATACGTTTAATAGACACCAACGAAAGAAAGGTTTAATGAGGGGGAATACCCATATATATCCTCTCTAAAATAACTCCCTTTTAAAATAACAAATGTACAACACATGTTCCCTAACATATCATAAATACGGGACACTGGTCACACCATTTATGAATGGGAAGCTTCAGGCGAGGCTGTTATGTTAACATTAATTGTAAGGCCGGGGTATGTTGACATTGTTATGGGCGGTCGGTCGCTTAGTCTCTCTGCTATACATTAGCTATGAATAAACCTATATTTCCAATAAGACATTTTCCTCGTCAAACAATTTTCCATGATAAACTCTGTTCTCTCTTCGAATTAAGGGTGAGTATTGTAAACATGAAAATGTCCTATAGATTGCTTCCATCACTTTCCCAACAAACCTAGCTTCGTGCCGTCACACTGGTACATGTACTTATCAGTTTTCTATCTATTTTCAAAATAGCACGTTCTGAAGTAAAACTGTGCACATCATGTTACAGGGTTAAAACTCAAACCGTAGGGCTTATTTGTCATCGCGTTAAATGGAAAAGCTAGCGTTGAAACATCAACTATGCAAGTCGGGAGAGGGCTGAACGCCTTCTATACAAATATGTGGTCACGTGAGTTGTCAAGCGCGCTCAATTCAAACTGGGCTGACGGGTACGGTCTGTCTATTCAGGGCAGCACGCCATACACATAGCTCTATTCAATACCCTTTACTTTTGTTTTCTTATGAATTCTTTTCTGTCTTATAAACACACACCTTTCATTCCCCCTCACCTGTGACGCGCTGTTGATGCATGAGTCATCCTATCCGATCACGTGACTTTGATCAGCCAATCACCTTCGCATCCGCCTGGATCAACCGGATCAACCAAAACTACCTTCTGCGGACCCGTCCTATACTACTTACTTGCTGTGGGAAAATACATCACGTGTATATAATATTGTCGGTTTGACAATTTTTGTTAATTGTGGATGTGCAAATCAGCATAGATGACAGAATGAATATTGTATATTTCCACCGCAATCCTGATCATTGTTTTATTGTCCATTGTATTGGATGAATAGTTGGAGGCGGGGCCAATGTCGCTGCTCAGCATTTAGCAGACAACTGAGAGTGTCGTCCGTTTCGCGAGAACCACCAGCCCACTTCCCGACCTTGTCGATAAGAGTTATCTAATCGGTACACAAATAACGGTGTCTGTTCTACCGCGAGGCTTGATGCGGCGTCAGTGTTGACGGACTTTGAATTATGTCCATCACAGGCCACAGAAATCCTCAAAGTATTCAATCGGTTTTATTCACAAAGATGTGTAGGCTGGCGGCCCATCTCACATAGTGTAAGATTAGTGTTGGTTGTTGGTTGGTTTGTTGTTTTACGCCGCACTCAGCAATATTACAGCTATATGACGGCGGTATGTAAAATAATCGAGTCTGGACCAGACATTCCCGTGATTGATATTATGAGCATCGATCCACGCAATAGGGATTAATGACCTGCATCAACCAAGTCACCGAACCTGACCACCCGATCCCGTTAGTCGCCTTTTACGGCAAGCATATTCGCCTTTAATGGCAAGCATGGGTTGCTGAAGACCTATTCTACCCCGGATCTTCACGGGTCGTAAGATTAGTGAGTAGTTATATTGTTCTATAACAACTCTTCGTGGTTCTACGGACTTATACATTAATGAAACTATGACAAAAGAGGCACAAGAGCATGTCACATATCATATGGTAAGAGCATGGTATATACATGTTTATGTCAAAACTTAGCACGCACCATACACGCATAATCACGGACACCTCTGCATAGTTAGAGTAACGTGTGTGCACAGGAACTCGATGATAGGGTGTATGTATATGGAGGTGTGTGCTTTTTTTTCTATACGAATATATTATGTTATACACGCTATCATCGAGTCCCTGTGCGTGTGTGTTCAACATCGTGAATCATCCATTTGAGAAAGCATACTTCATGTGTGAAATCGTGCTGCATGTTTGGTACCACCATCCATCTTGATCAGCACGTGGGCTCAAGTCTATTATTTCAGCAATAAATTATTATTAAGATACTTTAAAATTAGAATACATGGCAGGGTAGTTTTTTAATCTTTCACAGGACTTTGCGACATGCTATCTTCGTCTCATGACCTACATACATCTCACCACCTGACTCAACACCGCGTGATTGATAATGCCTGTATCACTGACGAGAACGATTGATATCTTATATCGCCATTGTTCAAAATTCAAAGCCACTTGACATTGAATCAAGGTCCGGAGGGCGTACATGCTCTGCCAGAGTGCGGCGTAAATGAAGTCAATAATATTCAGAACTCGAATAACATTGAAACAATCCAATGAGGGGGTCCAGAACTGATCATACCGTTGGTGACTTCCACCAGTTACAATGAGAAACATGGCTCAGACATTTACCGTTTCAATCATTAGAAAATTACCATTATCATGTTTTAAGCGTGGTTCAGAATGTATATACTTTTCGCGAACACCTGGTATCATTACTATTTGATGATGATTAATAAACAAATGCCTGGGATTTGAGTCGAACAGTCGACTCTGCTTTATACAGACATTTCTGTGGATATGGAAAGGGTTTTATTTATATAATTGTAAAGTATATTTCCAGCGCCACCTCTATTTACCATTTGGACTCTTCTTGCATGTTGTTATTTGACAGTGTAACTTATTGTTAAACAATGACTGTAACCATATTGCAGTATTCCTTTTGAGATTCAGTAGAAGCACATTGCATTTTATTTGAAGAATGATTTGTTGTCAGGAATATAGTACTATTTAATGTAAGCAGTGGTGAGGAAGTTATTATGATTAGATGCTCAAAATATCTGTAAACTTCCGTTCCGGAATAGATTGGGTGGATGTCAAGTGTTATAGACTGACCCGCTTTGAAAACGTACCAATATGAATCCATGAAAATATCATGATAGTTGGCAAAGAACAACGAAAATACCCCATGGTTAGGAGTTAAGGAAGTTGGGTTTAACGCCGCTTTTAACAGTATTACAGTTATATCGCGGCGTGTCACCTTAATATGGGAGGAAAGCCCGAAGTGATGCAGGTCTCAGACGTTTACCACTTCGGTGAAACCCACGAGCACAGGTATGGTGCTGACAAACCTAGAGACATAATCGGGGCGAACCGGGATTCGAAACCCCAATCATAGGATTCTGGCGTATCCCAGAGAGGCAATCCTGCACAGCGAATCGCGGCGCCTTAGACGCCTGGGCCACTCGTGCCCCCTCCAAGGCCTAAGGCCTAAAGCGTCAAACATCAGTGTATGTTAGTGTTATTCGCATGACCTGTAGTTGTGTCTTGACATAATTATTTTTCCAAGCTGACTTTCCTCTTGTTTCTTTTTTAAATTATAGGAGTGTATGTCTTCTAACGCCATAGTCACCAGTGTCCCAGCCTGTACATTATCAAGCCAATTCAAATCAGTGGTTGATGTCATGAGCAACGTTCTCCGCCGCCAGGTTCGATGACATGCAATCTGATCCTGAAAGTACCTGTAAGTATTCTAACCCTACAGTATAGAGATCAGTCATCATTGTCCGGGTGTCCGGATGTGTGCTGTGCTGCATTCAATACCCAAAAGTTATAAATTACGGGAAGAAGCTAAATGTAAGGTGAGAGAGGGAATTTATGGATATCAACTTCTTTATTATGAGGAACTCCATAATCAAGAAATTGACATAAATAAATTCTCTCTCTCATGTGGATCACTTCAAAAAGACTTTCAAAGGCTCGATTATCCGACGAAACATTAGTAGTATAAAAGTAATACCCCCAGCGCCTTCCGTGGAAGGCGCCCTATGAATATTCATAAGCCTATGCTAATAGACATGCATGACGTCACAATGAGAACGGCGTCATTATGCATGAATGTTAAGAATGTGAAGAATGCGGCCTTTGTTAAAAAAATGTCAGAGTTGAGGAATTCTTTAGAAATGCCAGCTATTGGAATGTAGTCGGGGTAGATACCTTCAGAAACATACGTCAGCAAATGGAATGTCACCCTATCGTGAAAGAATGAAACAGTCCTTGTTCTCTTGATATAGCTACTCAATGAATAAGTTAAATGTCGTCATCGAGACGAAGAGGATAATGTCCTCATTCACAATTTGATCAGGAAAAATATATATTTTGTTTTTGCTTGCAAATACAGACGGACCTTTCATGTTTGGAAGGAAAACAATCTGATTTAACCAATACCATCAATCATTTTCACCAGAATTAATGAATATAAAAAGTTATCGATCATTCCAGTTTGGTTCTTGGCTTAAAGTGGAAGCAATATTCACCGTCTTCCATTAAGGTTCATGTTTCCTTCCTGTTTTTTTGTAACTGAACGAAAATTGTACAACATGTCATCTCCCGATGGTAAGTGCCTCCATGATGTATTGGTGAGATCTGAGGTTAATCGTCAAGTCGCTGACGAACGTAGAAGATGCATATGTATCAGACCCTTTCATAGGGAGGACGCTGTAGTTGGAACTCTGGTTGGTTTACTGATGTTAGCAATCACCATTTTGACTGCCGTTTAGGCGGTTACTATTTCGAATTGGAAAAATATAACTTCACAGCAAATAGACAGTGAACTATTTTTTGACGACCCTGCTATTGAACCAACCCTCAGTCCGCAGTCAATCAACGCTTCTTCACAGTGCTTGAACACACAGTTTGTCTAATCCTATTCAACACGAGCTGTTGTTTGTCATAGCGCAAATAGCGCTGTACTTGACGTGAGACAGTTTCTGAATGAGAAACCAACAATAAAAGGTATAACGCTTACTCAGGGCGAATGAAAAATGATGTTACGTCTGAGATCTTTCATCCGTGCACAAATCAGATCCATGAATGAACAGTCAAGGACTAAACGAACACTGCCTGAATAATCTCCCCGAACAATTTAAAATTACATATTTAGGCTATCAACAATAGGCTAAAAGACGATAAAAAGAAGAGGAAAGTACTCGAAGTTTACTACGCTCATCAATGAAAACCTACATGCCATAGAATGTAGCACTACAGAGTTGTAGCGATATGTACTCGAATAAAAATACTTTCATGTAAATGATAAGAGGAATTGCTTGTTACTCCTTTTGCCACGATAGTCGAGACACTGTTACCTCCATCCAATATGTTGGTTGGTTGGTTGGTTGTTTTTTTAACGCCGCACTATAGCAATATTCCAGCTATTTTACGGCAGTCGGTAAATAATCGAGTCTGGATCAGACAATCCAGTGATTGATATTATGAGCATTGATCCACGCTATTTGAATCAATGACATGCATCAACCAAGTCAGCAAGCCTGACCACCCGATCCCGTTAGTCACCTTTTACGACAAGCATAGTCGCCTTTTACGGCAAGCATGGGTTGCTGAAGATCTATTCTACACGGGGGTCTTCACGGGTCCCATCCAATATGTGTTTAAGGTAAAGTGCATGTGTGTGTGTGTGTGTGTGTGTGTGTGTGTGTGTGTGTGTGTGTCTTGTGTTAAAGGTGCCCTTTTACAGTATGGCACGTACCAATCGTTGTTGTGAACGAAGCCTTTAGTGAAACCAAGAGCATCTTCCCTCTTATCTCTGTCATCATCAGAATAAACAGAAGGGTTGCTTCTTGCAAGGTTCCTTTACATTCACGTATTGCTGCTGGTCGGACATCACTGTAAGAAAACATGAAGACGAATAGGAAAAATCAGAGACGTCCAGTGGATATCTTCGAGTCGGGTGACCTATTCACAGGAAGGGGCGTTCCTCCACTGGTAAAGAAAAGAAAACGCACCAAATCCAATTCAATAAAAAGTTGAATGGAGTGTGTGCGTGGATGCGTGTGTGTGTGTGTGTTTGGTGTGTGTGTGTGTGTGTGGTGTGGGTGTGCGCGCGCGTGCGTGCGTGGATGCGTGTGTGTGTTTAGTGTGTATGTGTCAAATGGCCTATCAACCAACTCATATGAATGATTCACTGTACAAAACTATCTTTCCATGATGACAGAACCCATAGATGCCAATTCTGTGTTTATTTCCAGATTTACAAAGTGGATAAAGTACAGGGATAGTAAAATGGCATAGTCTGATGATAAAGATTGCAAGTGTCATCGCGCAGAAAGGGATTTTCGTCCTGGAGGGCCATATTTGGCTGGACTCCTCATATACAACACAAGGTGTTTCTTTAGTGTTGAGCTTTTGGTGTCAGTGGGAGGACGCTGTTTCGGTTCAGTGGTGTGCAATTTCTTGGCGTATGTTTTCACTATGGGAACACGTCCTGTTTTCTTGTTGTAACTCGGCTTTGTCATTAAGGTTTATATGTGATCGCTGAGACTGACAGAGGTCAACTAAAGGCATGACACTTGAAGTGAGGGGTTTTCATCATTCTTGTTCACTCAGTTCATCCTCCTCTTGAGAAGCATCAGATTCCATGTCACTGTCTACTTCAGTCATGTCTACGCGAGTCAGAATATCGTTCATGATGGGTTTCATGAAACGTTTGATCTTGTCTTTGATGACCGTTTGTTCAGTGCTCGGATCCATCTCCTTCAAGCTGTCTAGGATGGGTTGGAACAAGGGTGCCTCTGCAAAATAGCGGGTAAACTCAATGACAAAGTTCAACGTGTTTGCCAAATCATTTTTCCACACAGTATGTAGTTTTCTTTCGACCCATTCCTCCGTTTTTCTTGTTGCCTGTAGTTTTTCTTCTTGAGCTTCATGTCGTGTAGGCTCCTGTCATACACCCTATTCCATATACGGTGTAAACTCACGTGTTGCCACTCGTTGACCTCGAGGTCATGCCATTTAGATTTAGTATCAACATCACCACCCCCTTTCTGCATGGGCAGCTCTTCGTCACTATCATCATCATCGTATCGTACACGTTTTTTCTTAGGCTTAAACTCGTGTTCGGGGCACCATGTTTTGTTATTGTTTCTGTAAATCATGTATGTTATCTATCAAGATGCCACAGTCAGCGCAAGCAGTGGCCATGGTGAAAGGTCCCGAGTCCTCACTGGAAGTGGATGCTGTCTCCTCGTCAAGATCGTAAGATGTTTCTCCTACAGAAGATCTTTCTTGCGGTGTGTACTGCTTGGATGGAAGTCCTTGGACCATTTGTTGCTCTGTTGATGGAGAGCTCCCTTTTAACTCCTGCTGTTGTGAACCACACTCAGAGTCATGATTGACGGTTGTCAATATATTGACATGCAATCTGTTCTCGCTCGTGTCAGGTTTAAGATCTACTGTCAAATGTCCATAAGGCGTTTCAACAGCCTTTTCATGAAGTGTAAAAAATTTACACATGTCTTTAGGAAAAATTATTCTGCCAAAACATTTCACCTGCTGTATGTACACGGGTGAACTGAAAAGTGTCACGTAATGGGCATTTGGGAACAGGTTTTGCAATAACAAGAAGATAGTGACATTTTTGTGGTGTGATGTTTGAATGTTTGAACAGGCGGGAAATCCGCTTGTCATTCTTTGCCTCCGATAAAAAATCATCCAACACCATCATGTTCTGGTTACTGGCATCAAAGTACTCGTCATCTTCGAGATTGTAAGGTATCCCTTTCACAAAGTGTACTTGGGGTAGTGTTTTAAGAATGGTATCGTAAAGGGGTTGCCACACAGTGTAACACCATATGGTATTGTTGGGTCGTGGATTGATCCGTCCTCTCTGAAGTATGTTATAGACAAACATAGACTTACCACAGCCGGACGGACCTACTGTCACTGAATTTGAAGAAATGTTGAATGAGAAAGGTGGTGATGGTGTTACGGGTGACGGCGGTGGCGATAGAAGTGTTGGCTTTTGTGGAAGTACCAGGGTCGATGACTCTGGAAGGGATGAAGACGATGGTGGCGGCGGAGGGCGATGGTGTAGATGATGCCATACGAGATTCTGATAGTGTTATCTGTCTTATGGGCAGACTATTCACATCTTTCTTGCTGTGAATAAGCCTCTTGTGTCTGAACAGAGCATCCTTTCTGGACAATGTTTTACCACATTTCTTGCAAGATACCCTTCCATTCATCATAAGTAAGATTGGTCATCTGTCCTATGAAACAGCTGCAACACTTATTTTATACACACTCCTTCAAGCAGGCGTTAATGTCGTCAGCTTGCTGATGTGAAAACCAGTGTCAAAAGAGTCATTTTCCCACACTATGTGTGACTGAAGATGTATTACGACAACAGAACACTACAGCAGTTCATCAGAGTTGTCTCCATTTCTTCCGGTGGTGGTCTGGGTTCTTCCTGTTATGCTTAGCCTTTACTCTAGCCTTTACTCGTTTGATTGTAGCTTCCATCTGAGACAGTATTTTTGTTTGTAGCTTGGGTTTTTAGCCTGTCGAGAGGCTTTTGTCTTGACACTCATCTTTTTGATTGATTTGGATTTGGTGTGTTTTCTTTTCTTCACCAGTGGAGGAACGCCCCTTCCTGTGAATAGGTCACACGACTCAAGATATCCACTGAACGTCTCTGATTTTTCCTATTCGTCTTCAAGTTTTCTTACAGTGGTTAAGTTATCTCTGTTATGTAAATGTTACGTTTTCGTATGCGAATCTAAATTGTCTTTATGATTGAAACTTTTGGAACAGGTGTTACATGTAAACGCTTGAGACGAAGGCCTGTAATTTATCTTATGCCTAACTAAGGCTCGTTTGGAGCTGTATACCTTCTGACAAAACACACAGGTATAAACAGGGGTGGTAAAAGGGGACTACATGATGAAGTTTAATAACAACAAAATAAGAAACCTACAAAAATGTCTAGTTGCTGAAACAGACAAACGTAAATATCAAGGACAAGAAAACGAGTGAGCACGTATGTTACAAAACGTCGTGAACAGTAGACATAATTACATAATTTTCTTTGATTACAATTTCATGTTACCTATACCATGACAACGTTTCTTAAATTTGAGAGAAACTAAGATAAATAGACGTGACTTAAATTACTGTATTGTTGACGTCTGATTGTAAACTGAGAGTTTTGTTTTTCCTGTCTATTTTCATAGGTCTTATCAGTAGCAGTGCCTACATGCGCATGTGTCACGAGCCGAAATACTAAGGGTTCGCCCGATCTTTTAACCCTTGAAACGTTTGATGCATGTCATTTAAATGCATTATAATATCGTTGGGTGAAAAGGGTTAACCTCACGATCATTTGCTACCAACGAGACAAGTTTGCATAGTTGGCTGGTCAACACTTCAGTCTAGAGAGAATTTTAGAATTCCTGATAAACTATTCAAAGTGACATTCCACTTCGCTCAGCCATTCAACATATAGAGAAAACTTTTTGGATAAACCATTCCGAGCGACATTCCAATTCATGCAATGAATACCATTTTCAAAATGATAAAACATTTGTTCGACACGTGTCACCCACATCGTCTCCCAAAGCGGCAACCTAAATTCACACCCGGTTTAGGAATGCCTGAGGTAATGTATCTATGTAGGTCAATCAGTTCAACGCGTGTCCCGCCCATTCATACAGCCGGATGTCCGATGGGTAAATATTATTTTCAGAGTACATACTAACGTATTATCTCTAAACAGGGTACTGTAACTTAAACATGGGTTACCATAAGGGGGGACGGTTATTTCTATAAGACCATTTACGGTGGTATATCACAGTGTAGGGTTGAGGTGGGTAATAGTTCTAAAAGCCGTCCGGAATAAGGGATACATGCTATACGGAAGATATGATGATCAAATGGCGAATCTGGACATTCTCCTCTTCGTCTCGATGAGGACATTCTACTTATTTATTGGGTAGCTATATCAAGAGATAGAGGACTGTGTCATTCTTTCACGATAGGTTGACATTCCATTTACTGACGTTCATTCTGGTATGTATCTGAAGGTATCTACTCCGACTACATTCCAATAGCTTGCATTCCTAAAGAATTTTTAACAAAGGCCGCATTCCTCACATTTTTAACAATCATGCATGACGACGCCGTTCTCATTGTGACGTCATGCATGTCTATTAGCATAGGTTCATGAATATTCAAAGGGCGCCTTCCACGGAAGGCGCTGGAGGTATTACTTTTTTACTACTAACATTATCCACTGACTGCACAAGTGAAAACTATATGAATAGGTCACTAAACTTCCGTGAATACAATGTTTTCGAGAAAAGGGTAAGCATGTCCTGCCTTACGGGGAGCACGCACCACTCAATTTACTCAATTTGCATTGTAGATTTTCTTTGCCATATTGTACGGCAGTACTTCTGCGTTGAGACTGCGTTGTAAACAAACCAGGCAATCAAGTGATGGAACAGAAATATCCAATGAGACGATAGCGCATTTCCTGATTTGGTTGTAAGTAAAGACTCTATGAAAAAAATAAATTACGTCTGCTGTGTACAACTGCACAGATTATGCTGCAAGAAAAACGTTTAAGAAATATATTCGTGTCGCAACAAAGTGGGGGCCGTCTTAATGTCTTAATATGTCTAATGCCCTAATATTTCTTGTACAGATGACTGTATTTTATCATTAATAAATGCTACTGAGCACATGATCATGATATCGATGTATGAACCAGATTTCCATGACTTCCATGATTTCCAAATGTTCAGGACGCGGTGAGATAAAACACAATGCACAAGAATGAACTTTGTTGACCATTGTGAGTCGTTTTATTAAAGAAAAGAAATGACCCGTGAAGATCCGGGGAATAATAGGTCTTCAGCAACCCATGCTTGTCGTAAGAGGCGACTAACGGGATCGGCAGACATGGTTGATGCATGTCATCATATCCCAATTGCGTGGATCGATGCTCATGATATATATCACTGGATTGTCTGGTCCAGACTCGATTATTTACACACCGCCATCATATAGCTGGATTTTTTCTGAGTGCTGCGTTAAACAACAAACCAACAAACAAAACAAAAACAGAAATGAAAAGACGACAAAAGAAAGTTCTAACATGGATGTTCTTTTTGGCAATTGGGGCGGTGGGGTAGTCAGTAGTTTAAGCGTTCGCTCGTCACGATGAAGACCTGGGGTAGTTTCCCCATATGAGCACAATGTGTTAAGCCACTTTCTGGTTTCCCATACCGCGATATTGCAGGAATATTGTTCACCGCGGCGTAAAACCATACTTACTCAGTCACTTTTTTCGCAATTCCTGTATCTTGGTACCACGCCTTAACAAATATGAACTAACTGAAAAGGGTAACTGTGCTTCAATCATATAAAGTGGCGTTTTGTTTATTTGTTGTTTAACACCACACTCGGCAATATTCCAGCTATATGATTGCGGTCTGTAAATTATAGAGTCTGGACCAGACGATCCCATTATTGACATTCTCAGTGTTGTTAATGTTATGTTATTGAAAATATGAACATGCTATTTGGTAATTCGTCAATGTTTATCATACCAAATTCATTGTCGCAACCCATACCTGGTAGCAGGAGGTAGAGAGACACGAGGGGTGGTCTAACAACTGAATTAACAATGTCAATATCGGGTGTGACCACCATTTGCGTTGATACAGGCGGCGGAGGTGCATTGAAGACACTAGATGATTGAAAACAGCTTGGATGGATGCTGTTCTAATTGTTAACCCTATATTGGACTAACAGAGCTAGCGTCACCGACTGGTTCGCTCCATCCTTACACTGACTTGTTCTATGGGGGAGAGGTCTGAAGAAACAGCCGACCATTGCAGTAGGGCAATGGTATGGTACCTTAAAAGACCTGGAAGACCACAGGGCCGACCCTCTGTGCAAGACCAATTCCACCCCACTCAACGATGCTTGGACAACCCCACGAGTCTCTCAAAACAACACAAGTATCCGAATAACGTTCCCCACGGCGTCGACGCACGGTGTCCGCACTAATGTGTCGCTGGTGTGTCCCCATGGTCTGTCGAACAGTTTCCGCAGCAGTAACAAAGCGATCTGACGATCCTGACGTAGGGTAGTGACCCGTGGTCTTCCACTACGTGGTCGGTCATCTGTAGTGTTGGTCGTCTGGTACCGTTGCTGGAGGTGGTATGTGCTCCTTACGTGGACTTGAAATGCATTGGTTACTTGCGAAGCGGTTTGTCCAGCTTGCAATCGTCCCAGGGACTTGGGTCGCTGATTTCTTGTTAATCTTGGCATGTGGTAGCAATTCAATAACGAATGAATGTTATCCGATCTGGGTGGATTTTTGGGGGGGGAAAAATGGGGGAACGCATGTGCATTTCACTTTGCACGGAACTCATGTGCATCGGGTTACCATGGTTATTGCCGTGATGCGTTTGAGTGATCGGTTTTATTGTTATTCAAATGACAACTATTCATGCAATGTGACTTGGGGTGACGTTTCATTTGCGGTTCAGTATACATGTGAGCAGGACATCATATTGGAAACTAAAATTTGTTGGTTAACTTGTTCCTTTTCGAAGTAGTGAATGATGAATATGTTTGATACTCGGTGATATACAGATGTTCGTAGTTTAATCGTGGCAATCTTATGTTGCAGTTGGATGCCAAGTCTGCGCGTCAATAGGACAAAGGTACGAAGACGAACACAAGGGAGGTCGCCAGCACGCTAAGATACAACTACATGCAGAATACAGCATCATAAGGGGAAAGAAAAGCAAAGAAAAGACGTCAGTTCTGGGAAAAGTAGCAAAAGCAGTGTCGGCGTTACGTAACAGTTGCGGGGGAGTGTTGTTGGTACACTTGGTCAGAATATCATTAGAAGATAGGTGTCTCGAATACTTTGATGAATTTGTAGTAAAGACATTCACAAACTTACTGGAAGGTGGGGAACTGTATACTGACTCATATGCACGTTATTTTCTAAGCGAGAAAGCAAAATTCACAGACGCGTGTGACTTTCTTGTAGTTGACGTTCACAAAACAGCTGGTGTAGCAACAGTGGATTTCAACACTAAGGCAAACAATGATAATGAGAACCTGGTTGTAACATCACTGAACCTTTTGGAAGTATTGAATAAAACGGAAACAAATCCGAAGGACCAAGCTATTCTAAGGAACCTTCCCTATAATGTGCACACGTTTCATGAGGATCGACATATACAGTTGAAAGCATTTAAAGGTGACACTGAACAGATTCAGCGTATACAAGCTGATGTGGGAAAACTGACTGATCACATCTGGCACACTCTTAAGCTGAAAGACAACATAACTTCTATGTCAAAGCTGGTTCAAGGCGGGTCATACTACTTGGGTGTTAACGAAAAGAAAGTTGTCACAGGGGGAGGTTATCAAACAAAGGTTGCAGACATTGTTGGTTTCAAGCTACACTTGAGTCAGGCATCCTTGATTGAGAGTATCTACAGGAAGGTTGACACTGATCTGTGTGTACTGACAAAGCATGGAAAGTTTACAGACGCTCCTAGAAACCTGATATACATAGAGTTTCATCCTACCCAAAGACAACAGTTTGTAATGGAAGTAGCTATTCGATATTATGATGGAGTTGTGTTTTATGATAAAGATGGGCCGAGATCCTACATTCTCGATGTAGACAAAACTGTAAGAAGAATGCGCAACGTTGAATGGCTTGACAAGTTCCGTAGCACTCATGCGTTCTAGCCTGAATGAACCATTTCTATACTATTGTGTCATATTGTGGAAAGGATATCAGTGGATATCAAAACATACTGTTTGGTAGTCATCAGCTGTAGCCCCATGTCCGACAGCGGTAGTGACACCTCAGTCGGGTCCAGCCCATACCAGTCTGACCACGAAGTCATGACATACGTCATGGTTGGAGAAGTCACAGATACAGGTAGGAAATTAATTGCCAGTCCTGTCAATCATGTCCCCCATGCGACAACAAAATGGTGGGGGCGTTGATCGCTGCTCACAATATTGATCAGCTGGGTTTTTAACAAAATTACTTTGGCGTCTTAGATCATTATTTTAAACGGAAGCAGATTTTCGTGAGATCCTATAGTGTATATGTTGCAAAATCGAGCACTCAGTTGCTGATCTGGGACTAACAATGTTGGACACCTTTCTCAGCTGATGTCAGATCATATGACAATTACATGTAAAACTTCAATTTTTTGACGCACCTTTTTTGGACACCAACTCATTATTCTGTTTGCTGGTCTGTTTGATAATCTTGACACAACACACGTTTAGTTCTTTCATCATAGTTGGTGGGACCTGAAAAAGATAAGGTGACTCAGTTGGAATCCAGCGTTAGGGAACAACCAATCAATTCACATTCAAACACACTATATGATTTAGATAAAAATAAAATAATTACAGAGTTGTCAGAATATTACACTATACGTGTAGTTTATCCATTTGACAAGCGTACATACATCAACACAGTTCATGGTATACAATTCCTATTTGTATGTGTTACCTACTGGCAGGGGCATACCCAAGAGTTTGCCATGTCATATATATGGAAGATTTATAACAAGTGTTTTTTCATAATATTGGAAACATCAATCGTGTCTTAATTAACGTATGTCATTTAGTGGTATGTCATTTCCATGTTAAACTTTTCCCCATTTTGAAACAAAAACGCAAAAATTGTTAAAATCGTATGGTGAATTATGCGTTGACATGCCAATATTTCTTGGCAGTGTGAAGCGAAACAAATATCCCCTTTCCTTCTTTGGGGAAAATTCCTTCGCTGAGAAAAAGGTTCCTGGAACTCTTCGATATGAACATGTCTGAAACTATATGACGGTAGTTACAACAAAAACGATTGTTGTATTTCATTATACAGGTGGTGAATTCTTCACTTGTGGAACGACTGATATATCCTAACAGTATATATTAGATGGTCTAACTGTCACGTTTGATGAAAATGTAGGCGCCGTTTGACTGGAATTGAAGGTATAACTAATCGGTATGTTACACTTACAAAAACAGCGCCAGCTGGGATGTTACAGTGTTCAATGTAATGTAAATGTAAATATCTTGAATAGGAACAAAAGTACATACACTGAACCGCAAAAGAAACGTCACCATGGATAGATGTATGAGAAACCTTATTTGTCCAAACACTGTAAACATACTTTGAGACATATTAATAAGATGAAATTTGGCAAAACTGATCATAAAAGTTGAAATTAAAGTGTCAAATGTTTTTAAAGTGAAACACATCACTAGTCTCTGAGAAAATGGCATCACAAGTCAGTATCTCGTGTGTCCCCCATATGCATTGATGACGTCGATACATGGAATGGATGAGGCGGTTGATGAAGGCCATAGACACTTGAGCCCACAGTCCGAGGAACGCCTGATGCAGTTCAGCTGCAGTTGTCGGCCTTGGTCGAACGTCATTCAGCCGTCTTTGAATATCGCCCCACAGATGCTCAATGGGATTTAAATCGGGACTGAGGGCAGGCCACTGCATGGTTCGAATGCCATTGTGCTGGAGGAAGTCTCTTGTTGCTCTCGCAGTGTGGGTGTTATCATCCTGCAACACGTGGTTGCGGTGACGTGCAAAATAACATTCCCCACGGCGTCGCCAGACTCTCTCTCTGCCATCTGCTGTTGAGATACAGTAACGGCTCTTCTGAGAAGGGAACTCTTCTCCACTGCTCGTGGCGCCAATGCTGGTGATGCGTTGCCCACTGAAGACGGTCCCGGCGATGACGTGTTGTCAGAATGGGTCCTCGGTGTGGCCTGTGACAGTTGAGGTGTCTGCTCGTCAATCGTAGACGCACAGTGTACGCAGTAATGTGTCGCTGGTGTGTCCCCATGGTCTGTCGAGCAGTTTCCGCAACAGTAACAAAGCGATCTTGAAGATGCTGTCGCACAACCCGACGATCCTGACGTCGGGTGGTGACCCTTGGTCTTCCACTATGTGGTCTGTCATCTGTAGTGTTGGTGGTCTGGTGCCGTTGCTGGAGCCTGTATATCGTCCTTACGTGGACTTGAAATGCATTGGCTACTTGCCGGGCGTTTTGTCCAGCTTGCAATCGTCCAAGGGCTTAGTGTTGCTGATTTCTTGTCAATCTTAGCATGTCTTTGCAATTCAATAACGAATGAATGTTATCCGACTGGGTGGATTTTAATAAGGCAAGAAATGGGGGAACGCATGTGCATTTCAATTTGCACGGAACTCACGTGCCTCGGGTTACCTTGGCCGTTCGCGTGATGCGTTTGGGCGATCGGTTTTATTGTCATCTGCTTTGTTTTTTTCACCATATTTCATTTTTCTGGACACGATAATGTTCTATTTTAGAAACTTTGACAAAAATTACCCAGATATTTAAATGACAACTTTTCATGCAATGTGACTTGGGGTGACGTTTCTTTTGCAGTTCAGTATAGTTTAATCGAGTATTTCAATTAGACAAGACACGACTCAGTCAGGCACCACTTTTTTCATACCTGCTGGGGAGTAGGCGATCAGGTCTAATGGGTTCAAATAGCTACTTTACTGAGATTGTGGTCGTTAAGAGGTCGAGGGTCAAATTCAAAATTTCATTTTGCAGCCAACGCCACAGGTAAAACCTCTTCTGTTGGCCAGACATGCACGAATTCTTCTGTTGAGTCGACCAATGTCAACTTGACTCATGTTGTTCCACTCATCTGTAAGAGAAACACAAAGTTCATTGATAGTGGTTGGTGGATTTTGACGTTGACGTACACGTCTGCCAATGACAAACCTTATACGATTATCCTGATAATTCCACATAAAGGGAGGTTATTCGCATCTTTCATTGTATTTTCTGAGACGAATAAAGAGAAACGACCACTATATAATGAACAAATATATGTCCAATTATGATATGAAATTTATTGAAATTATCAAACAATGTGACTGCTGTGGTATATATACTCTTAAAAACCCAACTATACATGCATAAATTTGAAGACACCGGACACAATCGTTTTTGAATGGTAATTGTTCTATTTTATTTCCTAAGTAATCATTACATTTCATTAAATGTTTTAGTAAACATGCAGATTGCCCGAAACGAAATGTTGTGACGTCGCGACGGAGCAATTGGCCCTAACGCAGCAGCAATGACATAAACGTGAAGCATGTAATCTTCTGAACTGTCGTGATAATTTCTCTGTCAGCAAGGTTTAAAAGGCCAGGACAATGACTGCTGAAATCAGTAAACGAGCCGTTAAAATGCCACGTCTATCAGAAGAACAACGTAACAACGCCATCTACACAACAGCATGTGGCGCAGGTGATGGGTGTTACCAGATTGACCATCTCTAACTTGTGGAGACGTTACAACACCTACAGCAACTTTCGTGACAGGCCAACGTCAGGACAACCTCGCGTTGCAACGCCTGGCCAAGATCGCTACATCCGTGTACGGCACCTGCGGGACCTTTTCATCATGGCGACGTCAACAGCCTCACACGTAGCTGGAATGCATCGAATATCGGATCAGACTGTTCGCAATCGTCGGTTAAACATAGGTGTAACAACCTGACGCCGCACCACCTCCATGAACGTCTGCAGTGGTGTCGTCAGAGAGTCAAATGGCCTCAAGCAAGATGGGGACGTGTTCGATTCACAGACGAGTCCCGTTTTCTGCTGAGACGTGCTGATGGACCTGCCTGTGTGTACCGACGTCGTAACGAACGTTACGCTGAAACTTGCGTTACGCTGAGACAATGCATATGGCCGCATCTTTCAGCAGGACAACGCAATAAACCCCACGTCGCACGTGTTTGAGCAGAGTTTCTGCGTCAAAACAACGTGCCTACGCTACCCTGGCCTGTCCGCTTGCCAGACGTCTCCCCTACTGAACATCTGTTGGATGTGCTGGATAGTCGTGTCCGTCAACGTCAACCACCCACACAGACACTTCAAGAACTGTTTGTTGCGCTTGAGCAGGAATGGCAGAACATCACTCCTGGACATCGGACTATGGGCAGTCGATGCCATGAGGTGATAGCAGCTCGAAGAGACCATAATCGTTACTGACTTTCCACCTATCCCGGACGTCTTTGCACCTGTTTTTCTTAAGTGCATATTGTACAGCAATAATTCACCTATCCATTCCGCTTTTAATAATATTTCTGAAATCTAAACTCGAAAAATTAACCCAATACTGATGTATAGTTATATCTTCGGAAGAGTATATGTTGGTAAACTTCCCGAAGATTTCACCACCTTATTATTTGCTGATGACATGGTAAATGCTGCCGATAGCATGTGTGGATTACATCAACAAATTGGTATTTTATGTACGTTTAATAATAATTATGGCATGAAAGTGAATAGACAAAAGACTAAGATCATGATATTATATATTGGTAAAAATAAGTTTTTTATGAACAGTGTAAATGTGTGTTACAAACAGAACAGTAGCGATTAAGTATTAAGAGTCAGTAAGAAATGTAAATTCTGTTATGGAAATCTTAATTTGCATATTGAGTCTAGACTATGGGAAAATAGTTTGTACGAAGGAAGATTATGTTTATGTTGTAACAATGTTTGTTTAAATATAGTTATCGAAGAGGAAGAACCTTTTCTGTTGATCTGTCTTTTGAAGGATAATTTGAGGAGTCAGTCTAAGGACATTTTAACGTCATCATGAAAATTTGTCATAACCAACACACATGGAAACTGGTTGCAAAAGGTTTATGTTTTCAATGTGAGAAATCAATGCTTTTAATGTGAGAAATCAGTACGTTGAAAAACACTATGATATGAATTAATGGCATCTACTGATAATGCATATTGATAGTAATGCATTGAATTACAAAGGCGGGCCTTTCAGCAATATATTGTTTGTTAATTATTTGTGAATTTGTGGATGGCCAAAATTTCGGAAATAAAAAAAAAGAAATATGAAAGGTACATTTGTTTGTTTTGAAACAATCTTTTGAGTATATGATTTATGGACAAGTGATGCCCGACAGGTTTACGTACGTCAGCTCATTTAATAAGACCTGTACACCATTGATAATTGGTCAGCACCAACACAATGAGGTGTATGCAGGAGCTAAAGACTAATTTACATGTTAGATATGGCAATCCATTTCTTTATTACATTATTGTTTATTGTTTATGTAGTACGATTGTATCATATTTAATTTGTCACGATACCTACAAGTGTAAGGTGTCCTATCGATATTTGTGTTGACAGTTTGGTTACTCTGAACAAGACAATACAGTGTTGTCATCCATAGCAAATAGTCACCAGGACAGCGGAGTTATGCCCCTTTTCTTCACGCATGTGTATACCTCTCTGCCTTCTTTTGACGTCATAATAAAAACTCGATATCCCTCATTCACAACAAGTTACCATTTGTATCGAATATGTAACGTTATAAACACCCTTACAAATCTATTTGATATATCACAATGTCATTAACATATTAGGCAGTATTTTGTTCGTTTATAGTCTACACGAAGTTGTCAAATACAATTTTCGTCGCACAGTACTTGTATCGATGTACGAATAAAAGTGTTCAAAATTGCTGTGTTTTCACGCTCAACAAAATATCAGTCTGTTTTTCAGATCAACCTTATATTTGGCAATTATTGTACACACTGTTAGGAAATGTATTATTCTAATTCTATAGTTGAAGATAGATGCAGTGCCGCGCGACCGCACTTCTCGCACAATGTTTAACGTATGAAAATGTGCAACAGAAAAATAGTTTGGCATCCAGCGGGTTACGCTGCAACTATATGTGGCTAGTGATATCAGTGATGTGCCACATGACGTTAAATGAACTCTACAACTATTTACAGATTCATGGGACACACGTGCAAGACACAGTGATGACAGTAACACGGTAAGGCAATAACAATAAACAGATGAAGATGTGCAGACAAGATTTAAATGTGAATAATATTAATGAAACGCACTCTGTATCTTCAGCACATCTTGCTTCCGTATAAGTGTTTTATATATTTTACCAAATATATGCAAACAGTTTGGATTTTTGTCATCACAGGTAGGACTTAAAGAGGAGGATAACAATACAAGCCTTGACGGACCAGGATGTTCAACTGACACACTTCAAGGTGCGAACGTTTCCATCATAAGTGTTTTGATATTAAATCATCTCAATAAGTTCAGAATGTACTTGTCACTAGATATACCACATACCAGTATTTACAACTGGGAAATCCAATCTTTGCAGCTGAAACATGCAAAAGGTTTACATTAGATTGAGATACAATAATCCAATACTCGCAGACAAACTGAAACTGCTGCATCTGTTGCCCATTGGAGCTGAAGTTGTCGTCGACAACAGAAATGTAGCTAGGTACCTTAGTGTATACCGAAATGAACCCTGAGCGATTTCGTTGGACCAGCGGTAAAGCAGGTTACGCTAGTCTTTTCGTGAACACTTGCTATCATCACTATTTGATAGGGATTCATGGACACATGCTCATGGTATTGTCGGAATCGTACTTGGACACGTTGATCACTTAGAGATCAATTTAAAATTTAATAACATCAACATGGCTTGACCTTTGCTGCTACCCTATCAAGTACTTTGAGGTACACACTGTTTTGACTTCCAATCTGAAGAACTATATGACATCATATATATAATAGTGGTGTGTACTTTAGAAGTCCACGTCCTGCAACATGTTCCTGGATGAGTTGGTGTTGTAAAGGGAAAGCTTTAATTGTTTCTGACATGTGAAATATTGTGGAACATTTAGAGAAACTGATTTCTTTCTGAGCATATTACTTATGTTTAAAGCATCTTTTCCCATATTTACAAAGTACAAATTCAGTAACATTTAGAGATTTAGTGGAGCCTGTTTCAGGCTTGTGGGATGAAAGAACTGCAATGCGTTATTTAGCAACTTTAAAGATACAAGTGTGCGAAAAAAGTCCAAAATCTGAATACATATTTTCTGTTTCGGTAAAGCGTAATCAGAACGATAATTGTCTAACATGTATTCGATACTTCTGGACGACCGATCAAAATGAAGGAATCTCTGTTAGAATATTTCATGTTTCACGGATTTCTATTTTTTTTCTCAGGTAGCATCGTCAGGCTTGAGGAAGAAAACTTTCAACTGAAAAAGGTAACTGTTGATCAGAAATACAATGTTGAGGTAACGTGTGGTGAAATAGAGTTAAACGCTGCGTTCAAGATTATTTCAATCATATAGCGACGTGAATGAATGTGTGTGTGGATGCTCATACTAGTCTCGACTTGTGTCCGGTTTTATTGTGCCGAGACAAACCAATCGCCAGGCATTGTAACAAGTGTCATTCTTCCATGTGATTTGGTCGCACGCTGGCAGGGTCACGAACCATCAACCTTCAGCTTTCCAGTCAGAATCTGTATCCACTACCCCAGCAACAAATTGATCATGATCAATCAGTCTTCAATAAATACTGAAAAAATTCAAAAATGCAGTCTAAAGATAATGCATCTTTGGAAAATAACGATCGAGATAGTAATCAGTATAACAATCTTCAAATGAAAATAAAGAAAATATTTTGATATATATATATACTTCAAAAAATGTTTGGAAGGAATAAATTTCAGTTCCTGTGAACCAAGATGATGGTAACTTAATCCAAACATCTGAAAGTAAAACCAAATAACAGGCACCTGGTTCATAGCAGAGTGATAAGGCAATAAAATATGCAAGTATCACATTCTCAATCAATATACCATATTCTTAAGGTCATATTTTCCTGGATAGCTCATTACAGAGCAAAAGCCCTTCTTGGTTAATTATTTATTTTCATTATCAAATAGAGATGGGCTGATTCTTCCAACAATATGTGGGGCCGACCATTGGAAATTCTCGTATGACCTGAGGATTTGGTTTAAAAAAGTAATCTCTTTTCGAAAGCACTCGAAAAAAGTGTTCTAGGGTTTTACAGAAAACATCTTTTCCTGGATCTGCTTGATCTTCTGCATAAAATGTGTTCTTTGTGAAAAAAATTGTTTAGCTTCTTCTTTCCAACAGGGATGTTACCCCTTTTTCTACATTTCTTACATTGATATATATTCCTGATTTTGCACTTTTTGCATCCGTAGAAAATAGAGGAGCTGGAGAACTTCGACCGACTGTCTCTTGCTTCTTGGGACAGCGGCTTCGACAGTGAAACAAGCAGTATTGCATCCTTGGGCAGGCGTACAATAACTCCCAGACGTCAAAAGGATACAGTAGTCAATGTTGGCAAGATAAAAGACCATCTAAAGAGGGCTTTTGATCCTAGACCGCCGAACCAGAAAGGTTAGTGAATGTTTGAGGTTAATATACCACCGTTTGTATCCCCATTCAAGCGATATAACGACAGAAGAACCCCAAACTACTATACATGCGGAATTGTGATGCCTCCTATGCGTAGGCACCAGAGTGTGCTTCTAGATTACCAGTGTGCCTATCATTCCCTGGAGAGCTGTATGTTTTATTTCTGACCGAAAACACAGCACTTATTACTTTTTAATGGTTGAAGTGGCACAACACTGGTGGAGGTGCGAGGATACTCAGCTATTGAACTAAACTGGCAATACATGAGAGGACGATATTGGACCTTGTGTTAATAATGCCGATGAGAGGATACAAGATTGATTTATAATAAATGTGAAATAATATGTCATGAAGTACGTTACTGTCATACGAAGGGGAGCTTATCTCTAGGATGGCGGTGAGATGAAAAATGGGAAACAGGGACTACACTGGGTGCTTATCTATTTTATTTTTGCATTGTCAAAGAAGTTGCCCATCCTACTTCAGTCTTGCGAGTTGGAAATGAAGGTGAGCAACAGATCTCAAAAGCTTCACATATGTTGGCTGAACTAGTTCATGGAAAGGAGGAAAACAAATAAATAAATGGACATTCAAAATCATCATGTATAATTTTGCTTCACTTGGTAGGGGGGAGGTAATCTTCTCTATTTAGATTGACAGCGACAGGTTCAAAGTACTACTTTGGGAGTAGGTCCCCAGTGTGAGGAAAGATGTAAGTGGTTAACATTGGACCTTCTCACTATGTGCCCAGCTGATGTAGAGGAGTGAATACATGGGGATCTGATCCACAGGGTGGAGGATCTACAAGCTGGAAGGCTACACCGCCGCCCACAAGAGAGAAAGAATTTAGTACATGACATACCACCAACTCACAACACATATGAGGAAGAGAATTAATGCATGTCAACTTCTTTATTATGAGGAACACAACAGAGTATATACTTACTACTTTATCAGTTGAATGAAGGAGTTAGTATGTACGCCGTAATGTTGTGTTCCCCCAAATGAAGACGTTGACATTAATATATTCTCTTTCTTATGTGTACCACATCTAAATACCATTCAAATACTCAGTGATACTGTGTACGACAAACACAAACGGAAAACAACAACAGTGCTTCATGTAAAGTGGTGTAAATGTTAAGCTATTGAAAAAAATCCCATAACATTTGGTCTTTCATCTGATCAATCATGATAAATTCATTGACACCCATATATCAATGTTGGTGTGACCACCATTTGCGCAAATGCAGGCGAGGCAATGGCAGCACATTGAAGACACCTTATGATTGAAAATGCTGAATGTTGTTCCAATGTTGGGACCAAGTGAGCTAGCGCTTCCTACTGGTTCTGGTCCTGTCGTAGACGTCAGTCCATCTCATCCGAGACATGTTCTTTGGGGAGATGTACAGCAAAGGTTTGCTGCCTCTAAAAGTATGTTACAACTAGTGCACAATTTGAAGAATGAAAGCGTCGCTAAAACTTGTCTAGGTTTTTCCACCTGTGATCTTCTCAACCCAGGAATTGTCAGAACTGTTAATGTGGCAGTATGGTATCGATTGCGTTGATGCACTAACACATGGACGACCAGCCAATGGAAAGTAATGAGAATTGCCCTGCTATAGTTAATGTCTCTAAAATCTTCATACTGTATTTCGATGAACATTAAGATTTAAATGTGATCGAGGCGCACACTAGAGGTTTCAGTTAAGTCAACGAGGGCGAGCTTAAAATATGAGACTTAATTGGCGCTTAAAAATCTGGAAAGTTGAGGAAACTCTATGTTCGAGTGGGAGATTTTTCCATCGGCAGAGGGAAAGGTCTTTACTTGTGGTAAACACATATGTATATGGTATGAGTGGCAGGTTGTGAGTGGGTTGAAATGAAGTGACTGAGTACTTGGTACATGTAAGTTATTTGGTGGGTTGGCATTTTAAGTTTAGCTTGTAAATGGATTATTAATTCATATCTGGCTTTGATGTTATTCGCAGGGTTAAAGCGTTAGCTCATCTTGCCGAGAACCCGCATTTCGATTCCCAACATGGGTGCAATGTGTAAGCCCATTTTTTATGCTGTCCCCCGCCGTGATATTGCTGGAATATTGCTAAAGGTGGCGTAAAACCATACTCACTTACTCACTTACTGATGTTATTCACTGTTGTAACATATAAATCCTATATTTTAGAGACGCAGAACCCCAAACGTGCAGATACAGATCTCCATCTTGCCTGCAAGAAGGGAGACCTAGACTGGCTTAGACACACCTTATCTAAGGGTCTGGCAGACCCTAACAGTAGGGGCCAGTACGGGAAGACACCCTTGATGATCGCAGCAGGCAAGGGACACAGATCAGTGTTTGACATATTTGTTAGAGGAGGAGCTGATGTATCCTTAGTTAGTGATAACGGAAACAACATCCTTCATGAGGCCTGTGTTGGAGGACATGTGAACATGGTGAAGCATGTCCTCTCACAGAAGGTTGCAGACATCAACAGTAGGGGGCAGTATGGGATGACACCCTTGATGGTTGCAGCAGAGAAGGGACACAGACAAGTGTTTGACTTACTTCTGAGAGAAGGAGCTGATGTATCCTTAGTTAGTGATAACAGAAACAACATCCTTCATGTGGCCTGTGTTGGAGGACATGTGGACATGGTGAAGCATGTCCTCTCACAGAAGGTTGCAGACATCAACAGTAGGGGGCAGTATGGGATGACACCCTTGATGGTTGCAGCAGAGAAGGGACACAGACAAGTGTTTGACTTACTTGTGAGAGAAGGAGCTGATGTATCCTTAGTTAGTGATAACAGAAACAACATCCTTCATGTGGCCTGTCTTAGAGGACATGTGGACATGGTGAAG